GCACTCAATCTCCGCGCCGCACGCAACCCAAGTGAATCTGCGCTTGTTGGCCGCGCCGATGAACCCAGCCGACGTGAACCAGATTCAGGGTGTCTACCCCAGCAAGCCTCCCTTCCAAACGGCGCTCGGAAATGCAGAGCCCGCCGCAGTTGGCGGAAACGAGGGCGCATTCGAGGTGCTGTCAACCGGCGCGGGTGTCAAGAACCTCAGCAAAGGCGACTGGGTTATTATGAAGCGCACAGGTCAGGGTACCTGGCGTACCCACGCGCAGATGGAAGAATCCCAGTTGATCAAGATCGAAAACAAGGAGGGCCTGACCCCGCTGCAGGTTGGCACTATCAGCGTCAACCCCGTCACTGCGTACCGTATGCTCCGTGATTTCTGCGAATGGGATTGGATGCGTGCCGGCGAGGAGTGGGTGATCCAGAACGGTGCCAACAGCGGCGTTGGCCGCGCAGCTATTCAGCTGGGCCGCGAGTGGGGAATCAAGACGCTCAATGTCATTCGCGAGCGCAAGACACCTGAAGAGACCGAGGCCCTCAAGAAAGAGCTCCTGGAACTGGGAGCTACCGTTGTTATCACGGAGGAGGAGATGCTTACTGGCAACTTCCGGGATATGGTCAAGGAGTTCACTCGCCAGGGTCGGGAGCCCATTCGTCTGGCGTTGAACTGCGTAGGCGGAAAGAATGCTACCTCGCTGGCAAAGACTTTGGCTCCTGATTCGCACATGGTGACCTACGGCGCCATGTCGAAGCAACCTGTTGCATTGCCCTCGGGACTGCTGATCTTTAAGAACCTCACGTTTGACGGATTCTGGGTCAGCAAGTGGGGCGACAAGAACCCCGAGCTGAAGGAGAACACCATCAATGATGTGCTTCAATTGATTCGCTCTGGCAAGTTCAAGGATACTCCTGTGGATGAGGTCAAGTGGAGCTGGGAGTCTGAGGGTCCAGAGTTGGCAGAGAGCGTGCAAGGCACTTTGGGCGGCTACCGTAGTGGAAAGGGTGTCTTTACCTTCAGCGGCGGTGATTGAGTGAACAGCCACCTGGACTATATGAATGTATTATAAAGCTACGTGGTATTTTCCCGATATTTACTTGACAGTTGATTGATATAACATGGGTCCAGAAACTAGGAATAATTGTAACAGAACTGCTAGAAAGTATACTTATCAACACTCCCAGTTCTTCTTCACCCAGTCAAGAATCAGGTTTGTTAGAGACACATGTGGCATGTAAGCATCACTTTCCTTTGCAATATCGACATCAAGACCAGCAAATTTAGCAGCCAGTATCACATATTTCTCGATAAAATCAAGGTAGACCAAATCCACCGTCTTCGGTGTCTCGGATGCATTGGGAGATACGAGAGCACGAATACAGTTTGGCACTCGGTAGAAGGAGATGGGTGAATGGATGGTATCATCACCGTCTGTGCCTGCATCATCTTGTGTCGTGTACCCGGGCACGAGATCCGGACCGGACAGGGGGATCTGCTCGCTAGCCGACGGCCATTTTTGGGCAATAACATCTTCCGGGTATGCAAGTTGCTCGGGAGGGGCCAACGTTGTCGGTGAAGATTCGTCCGTAGTTTCGTATAGAACTTGAGGCTGCTCGTTCAAAACATCGACAATAAGTTGTGCCTTATCATATGGGACATCTTTCACGTAGCGGAAGGTGCTAGTGAATGGAGATACAATAAAAGTCGAGTCTTGGGTAAAGGGCCCTTTGAAGATATCGAACCTCATAGCGCCCGTATTAACAATGGCTAGCCTAGGTATGTCTCCACGAGACTCATCCTTCAAGTCACGCAAAACCTCAGTTTCAAGCCAGGTGTAGATGCTGTTGGGGTCCGGGTACTTGGTTCGTGACATCCATAAATCATGTGGGGCACATCCGTGGACTTGGTCCAGATGAAGGTCGGTCCGTGCTTTGGCGATCATCCGGGAGACATTGAGACCTTTTTCGGTTGGGAAGGTCTCTCGATCAAGATCGGTGTGATGATAATAAGAAAAAAGATTGTTGTCTATGTATCTGCGCTTGAAGACAGGCCCAGCAGCAGACTGACGGCTTGTCTTGCTGGCGAGGCCATCGATTGACATGAAACCAACAGTTTCCATGAATCGACCGCTCGCTAGCCCAAAGGCCTTGGAATCATACTGTGCATAGTCACGCACATGCTGGTGCCCACCGAAGAATTGGATTGGAGTATCCCAACGAATTCCCCGGATCTCCTTGAAGATCGCCCGGTATTCCGGCGAATGAACAGGCACATGGCCGATCACCAAAAACAGATCCACTTCTTTATCCCGAATGGCTTCTTGGAACCAGTCCTCCTTGATGGTAGAAGATACTTTCTGGACCACAGTATTGTTGTAATTTCCATTGAAATCAAAGAGGAAGCCAAAGGCTACTATACGGATGCCTTGATTCTTGGTAGTGAACTTCTTAAACCGCGGGGCCAGAGGCACAAGCTGTTTTGTGGTCGGGTGAATGATATCGATATTCGAAGCGAGATAGTTGCCCCGGAAATTTGGAACGGTGATGAGAAGCTCTGCCTCCGATGTGTTCTTCTGGTATAGTTCGTGGTTTCCCGACGTCAACAGGTCGATGTGCTGGTGCCGGACAATGTCTGAAAGGTAGATACCCTTGGGCTTGGACGAGTCATATAGGCCGTTCCCTTCCACTCGGTCACCAGTATCTATAACGAGTAGATCTTGTCCTTGTGCTTCTGCCTTTTCCCGCATGTGTGTTGTAAACGATACATAGTCTCCCCAGTCTGCGGAGTAGGACGGCCTGCGATTATTAGTACAACTCGGAGCTCAGCAGGGTCCAAGGCCTACTCCTGCAGATGACCAGCCAGCCAGCCATGAGTATCGGTAGTATGAATGAAATTCAGTTGCCCGAAATCAAGTGGTCGCAGCGGAGCGGAGATGGGGTCGGGTGCGGAGGGTTGAGCGGCGAGCGCCGTCGGAAGTAGCCAGAGCAAGGACAACATCATTACCAACAATACACCCTTGAAAGAGTGTCTAGGAGCATGGATTTAAAGCAAGAAAAAAGATGCAAGATGTTGAAAGATCGTAAAAGAAGCTGAAGGGAGCACGTCCAACAAGATAGCCCACAGAAGATATGTGGTGTAAACAAGATGCGAGCTCTCTCCAATTCTTGTATGGTTACAGTTACAGTACCGGTGAGCAGCTTTGATATCACGTGTCGCCCAACATCTTCGGATTTGCAGCTCAAAGATTATTTGGACAGCGATAAGTTTCCCTTAGGCATTTACTTCGATCTATTCGTCCGTTCCTCCATTCAATTGCTTTTGCGGTCCGATTTGGTCTGCGATCTTGAATTGAATCCATTTGTCTTTGTTTTTCATCTTCTCAATTCCATCATATCTCCACAATGGCAGCTCCACGACTTTTCCGCCCAACAGCTCGTCTGTTCTCATCGCGCCTTGCTTCCACTGCTCTGCGCTCGAATATCCGCCAGTCTGCCTGTGCTCCTTCAATCCTGCGCCGCGGATATGCCACTGAGACCGGCACCAAGGAGGTCACCGTTCGCGATGCCTTGAACGAGGCCTTGGCAGAGGAGTTGGAACGCGAAAAGAAGTGCTACATTATCGGTGAGGAAGTCGCACAGTACAACGGCGCGTGAGTAATCCTCTAAGCTTCATTTGAATCGAAACTGACGTTGAACTTCCTGTACAGATACAAGGTGACGAGGGGCCTGCTCGATCGCTTCGGTCCTAAGCGGGTTATCGATACTCCCATCACAGAGGCCGGCTTCTGTGGTATCGCCGTCGGTTCTGCTCTTGCTGGCCTCCACCCTGTTGTGAGTATTTATGAAAATTACGGTTGATCGAGGATCGCATACTAATCGTTCATGATCTAGTGCGAGTTCATGACCTTCAACTTCGCCATGCAGGCCATCGATCAGATTATCAACTCCGGTGCTAGAACTCACTACATGTCCGGTGGTATTCAGCCTTGCAACATCACTTTCCGCGGTCCCAACGGTTTCGCCGCCGGTGTCGCTGCCCAGCACTCCCAGGATTTCTCCGGCTGGTACGGCAGCATTCCCGGTTTGAAGGTTGTCTCCCCTTGGAGCTCCGAGGATGCCAAGGGTCTGCTGAAGGCTGCTATTCGCGACCCTAACCCCGTTGTTGTTCTGGAGAACGAGTAAGATTCCATTCCATCTTGCCAAATTTCGTGTAAACTAACCAATGCTAGGCTCTTGTACGGCCAGCATTTCCCTATGAGCGAGGCTGCCCAGAAGAACGACTTCGTCATTCCCATCGGTAAGGCCAAGATTGAGCGCCCCGGAAAGGACCTTACCATCGTCTGCATATCTCGCTGCGTCGGTCTGTCTTTGGACGCCGCCGCCGAGCTCAAGGAGAAGTACGGCGTCGACGCTGAGGTTATCAACCTGCGCTCCATTAAGCCTCTCGATGTTGAGACCATCATTGCCTCCCTCAAGAAGACCGGCCGCATCCTGGCCGTCGAGTCTGGCTACCCTATGTACGGTCTTTCTTCCGAGATCCTGGCTCAGTGCATGGAGTACGGCTTCGATTATCTGACTGCCCCTGCCGTCCGTGTCACCGGTGCTGAGGTTCCTACTCCTTATGCCGCTGGTCTTGAGGCCATGGCCTTCCCCCAGGTGGACACTATTGTTGGCCAGGCCGTCAAGCTTCTGCGCTTGTAAGCCAATGAACGAGGGCGAGTGAGAAGCTCGCAATAATATAGCTATGTGCCTAGTACCCTTTCATCTGTTCCATCTTATGTCGTTGTTTTATTCTGCCTTTGTTATCCAATCGTTTAGACAGTCTTTTGGAAAGCATGTACCATTACATCCAGATCAGGACCATCGTAAATGTGCTTAAATGTGGCTTAGATGGAAATTCATTGCTGCCAGTAATTTAAAACAAAGGACCTACCCTTAAACGCCAGTGTGTATTTGATATTTCATTCGAATCGCAAGCCATTCCCGTCATCACGACATCGATCAGACCTTTTGGGCAACACACCCAGCAAAACAGTCCGTTGGCCGCCGAGGGTCATAATAGCCTTCTGGGCCATATTCCTCGTCATCACTTTCAACATCACCATGTTCATTCTTTTGTCTTTCTTTATCTGCGGGAGCATCGGTTTGAGGTTTCGGGCTAATACTCTCGTCGTCGTCTCCTAGAACGTTCTTCTTCTTGACTGGGGCTGTGGAGGCTGCCGTTCCCTTGACAGCGGAGAATGAGCTTTTGAAACCTCCCTTCTTGAAACCAGTACCTCCTCCACTTGGTACCACATTGGCCACAGGAGTCTCGATGACTTTCAGACCGGCCTGCGCATCGGCTTTACGTTCTGCTCGACGGTTCTTCTCGAGGGCATTTGGATCCCGTGTTAGCTGTTTGAGGTCTTGCAAACGCTTTCTGTGCAGGTGATCGTATGAGCCAATATGTGCCTCGTATTCCGGGTGGCGCGAGTAAGATTTGTTGCAGAGGCTGCAGGTGAAGGAGCTGAGCGCAGACCGCGCTGATTCAGTCTGTAATGGTTAGCTTGGCGATAGCGAATGTGGCTGACCAGGATGGTTAATTACCCTCGGAGCGGGATTTGTGAAACCACGCTATGTTTGTTAGCTGAGGTATCGGATTTGGACCACAAAGGAAGAGCATACCGGTGCCATTGTTCTTGAACTAGAGTTTAGGTGAAGTTGAGTGAGAGAGCGTTTAGTACGGCCGGGCATTGCGACCATGTGTGTATTAATAACGGGTCTAACGCGTCGCTGCCTGTGAAACCAGGCAATCTATATTTAATGTCTAGGCTTTCATCATCGTGCACTCTTTTGAAGAGTTATCTAGCTAATTAGACTGGCTCTATTTATTGAGCAAGCCTTCTACCTATACCCAATATCTAACTCTTTATAGTAAATCAAGTAAGCCGAACTATAGTGACATTGTAGTATAGGAGTCACCTGACTTGTGGATACTGCTCAGGACAAATCGTCATTACCCGCCGAGGAACTGGCCTATCACAGCTGCCGTATTTTAGCAACTCAGCGATCTTTAAACCCCAACATTTCCCTGCTTTTTCTTAGTTCGCCTATACTACTTTGTACAAATATGGATGCATGATTGACGACTTATTTCCTTACGAGTTCCATTTTCACACTTTTCCTCCAGCTCACGAGCACCAAAAATCCCGATAACCATACAATGCCGTCCCACCTGCTCTCCAAACCGGACGACATCGACACCAGATCTATGATCTCCCTGCAAGAATTAGACCCATCACCTGTCCATGATGTCCTGGATATTGAAAGCGGCGAATTCTTCCCTAGGGCCACCTCTCCGACGCAACATACAGCTGGTATTTCAATGCCAAAACTAGGCCTGAGCGGCCATAGCTGGGATTCATGGCGTACGTCAAGTGACAAAATGCTGGATCATATATTCTAACTACGATGACCGCTTAGTGACTGGTATCCAAAAATACTCAACCTATCCACCTACGGCTTTCTTCATCCTACATCTCGCGAACACCTCTCTTATACCACTCGTTACTCGCTCCGTGCCCGCGAGCGAATCCTATCTTTTGCTCACACGACCCGTATACCAAGCACCCGGACTAGAGCATCTCGTCTTAACACTTCCTATAATTGCGCATATTGCCTCCGGAATTGCTCTCCGCAACATTCGTGCTGCGCGTAGAGCACGTCTGTACGGCGCCGAGACTCGCGCCCAGCGAAGCACGTTATATTTCTGGCCGCGGATGTCATTGCAAGCACGCACTGGATACTTTATCGTGCCGCTGGTTGCATTCCATGCACTCGTCAACCGTGTTACACCATTGATCGTCGAAGGAGGAAGCTCTGGCGTAGGACTTGGATATATTGCCCATGGGTTTACTCGGAATCCTATGTTCTGGAATGTCTTTTATTTCTTTTTTGTGACCGCCAGTGCGTGGCACTTTGTTGGTGGCTGGGCGACCTGGATGGGCTGGAGAGTGACCACAGCGCGCAAGGAGCGTAGTCACAAAGGCTCGTTGGATGGCTACCGTGGACCCACGGAAACAAAGTCGAAGAGGCAGCGCAAGATGTGGTGGGTTGTCAATGGAATTGCCGCGGCTGGCGCGGCTCTTTGGCTTGCAGGTTCTCTCGGTATTGTTGGACGTGCTGGCGAAGGTGCTGGTTGGGAGGCCAAGGGGTGGAATGAGATGTATAGTCAGGTCCCGATCGTTGGGAAGTGGCTGTGACAGCTTTGCATGATTGTACATTATGTATCTATATAGACTTAAACCTAATATATATGAGGAGTCTGAATACAACCTTACATACATGTACTTTTATAGTTGATATAAATTACAAAACAGGTATTGTTGTGTACTGCAGACTGGTCCGTGCATAGAATCTTTTTCTCCGTCGCATTCAACGTCTTTTGCGACATGCTGTGAAAGGCTTCGCCCATGAACGCCTCGTTGATTTTTGGATCAGCAACGAGAAGGGGTAAGCGAATACTCATTCCTACCATTATTCTCGCCCAATCCCCCCGCCCGACCCCCACTTCGATCCGATATTGTGTCCGATTCCTTTCCACTTCTAGAGCCATGGAGGTTCCTCAGACCCAGCTGGTGGAATACCAGGGAGACAATTATCATGTTGTCAAGGAAGGTTTGGCGAAGATTCTCAATCCGCCTGCCCAAGCGGCCGCTTCCAAGGGAACGAAGAAGGATCTCAAAGACGACGATCAAGCGCAGTCCGTCTTCTACAACCCAATTCAACAATTTAATCGCGATCTCAGTGTGCTAGCCATTCGCGCTCACGGCGAACATATAATTGACCTGAAGAAACAAAAAGCGGCCCAAAAGCTGAAGAAGCAGGCAGGCAATGGGGATAAGAAACGAAAGCGTGAAGATAACCAGACCGAGAACCCAAGACCCGCCTCAAAAGCAGAAAACAAGGAAACCATAGAGACAAACGACCAACCAGTCCCAGCTGCCTTAGTCCCCGCTCCCGCGGTTGATCAAGGACCTCAGTCAGAAGCTCAACCAGAGCAACCCGCTTCTTTCACTGTTCTTGATGCTCTGTCTGCAACTGGACTGCGCGCTCTTCGCTATGCCTCGGAGCTTCCATTTGTCACAAAGGTCGTGGCTAATGACCTATCAGAGTCAGCAATCAAATCCATGAAGAAAAACATTGATTACAACAATCTTCAAACGATTAAACCCAATCTGGCCGATGCTCGAGTTTACATGTATGGGCTTGACCACGCGAGCAAGTTCGACGTCATTGATTTGGATCCATATGGCACAGCAGCTCCATTCCTGGATGCTGCAGTGCAAGCAGCCAAAGATGGTGGTCTTTTGTGTGTTACCTGCACTGATGCCGGTGTCTGGGCCTCGACCGGCTATTCGGAAAAAGCATTCTCTCTGTACGGTGGTATCCCCATCAAGGGCCTCCACTCCCACGAAGGTGGTTTGCGATTGATCTTGAACTCTATTGCTATGTCCGCAGCTAAGTACGGAATGGCCATCGAGCCATTGTTGTCTCTATCTATCGACTTTTACGCTCGTGTCTTTGTTCGGATCCATCGATCACCCGCACAGGTCAAATTCCTCTCGGGCAACACGATGCTCGTATACAATTGCGACGTCGGCTGTGGCGCATGGTCAACACAGCCCATTGGGTCTACCAAATCTAGATTGGACCGCAAAGGAAACCCCATATACCACCACGGCCTGGCTAAAGGGCCCACAGCTGGACCTAACTGCGAGCATTGCGGCACAAAAACACATCTTGCAGGACCCATGTGGGGCGGTCCGCTACACAATCCCGACTTTATCCAAAAGATTTTGGACATGCTTCCTGGAGCTGATCCAGAAACATATCAGACCTGTCCTCGGATTGAGGGAATGTTGACCACTGCCCTTGAAGAGGACCTGGACTTAACACCATCTGATTCCCAACCATCCACTCCAAAACAGCCTGCGCCAAGCACGAAGAACCAGCATGACTCTGCATACCCTGCCATCATTCCTCGAATGGACGTTGCCGCTCGGGAAAAATACCCTTTCTACTTCTCACTCAGCGCTCTCTCAAAGGTTATCCACTCAACCACCATTCCTATCGACGAGTTCCGCGGTGCCCTCAGTCACCTCGGATATCGTTCCACTCGTAGCCACACCAAGCCGAACTCAGTCCGCACGGATGCGCCCTGGGAGGTGATTTGGGAGATCATGCGCGAGTGGGTCCGTCAGAGAGCACCTATCAAGGAAGCCTCCCTGAAGCCTGGAACCCCCGGTGCTGCAATTATGGGCAAGAGCCGTGAAAACCTGCGTAAATTGAACGATGAAGACCAATGGCTATCGCTTCTCAAAAAAGATCTGATGTCTGCCGTCGAGGCCGGCAGAGATGTCAGTGACTTGGTCACTAAGGTCGAAGCGGCTCTCTACCGGTCCGGATCGCGAAACTCGTCCCAGCGTACTGCTGCTTCTGCGGAGACTCGTCCCAATGCCGATCCCCAGCCTGTACCCGAAAAGGAAAAGTCACCTGCACAGCCCTTCAAGCGGCCTCACCCTAGTACCCTTGAGGTGGTATTTGATGAGGCTCTAGGTCGTGAGGTGTCTGCTGCGCATACCAAGAAACGACTCGTGCGGTATCAGCTCAATCCTCGTGCTAATTGGGGTCCTCTCAACCGGGCAGGGCGTTAACGATATTCACTACATGTAGTTATACTTAGAAAAGTCCTCTGTATGGTTTATACTTTGTCGAACAAACCTATACCTATTTAACATCGTAGAGTGACAAGCCCAGCATGTCTACTCCGCGCTATTATTCCCATTCCTGGTACTTTCAATGAGTCATGGCCATAATGGTTGGAATGCCCCATTCGCCCAATTTCGCCCAATACTTTATTGTTGGGGCCACCAAGTGCTTAGTCACAATTCAACTAGAATGTAACGTTAACTAGGCAACGAGAATGTAAGGAACTATATACCAACTACATATATGTTTCTTTCATTGGTATCGTGAAACGCTTCTGGAGCAGATACATCTTCTTTCTATGAAAATGGCTGTCGGCGGCTGTTTCTGCGGCAAAGTCCGCGTCGAATACAACGGCCAACCCCTGACAACAGTTAGTACAATAGGATTCTCTTTCGTTTAGTATAACCAAGCTAATCTGTTGCAGGCACTGTGCCACTGTCTCGATTGTCGCAAACTTACCGGGGCCCTCTACACGTACAATTTCGTCGTCAAAACCGCAGAGTTGAACATCACTGGAAGTCCAAAAGCAGTGCCAAAAACATCGGATAGCGGAAATGATATCAAGAATTATTTCTGTCCTGATTGTGGTTTGTATCTTACTGAATTTAGGAACGACAGTATCTGACGAAAGTGATAGGCACGCCGCTTTATGGACACAAGATAAAGCCCAATGGAGAGGCTGAGGAGGTTACGATCGTCCGGGCAGGGATCTTTGATGATACGGAGATTTTGGATGAAGGGAGGCCTGCGGTGGAAATATACACTGAGAGTCGATTGAAGTGGCTGAGTCCTGTCGAGGGGGCTGGGCAATTTATTGGCATGTTGTCTGTACCTTCACTTGATGATGCTTGACGGCGGAAAGCAGAAGGAGATTTCTATTGTAGAATGTCGTGTGGACTGCTGTTGCATGTCGAAGGTGTGGTAGATTTCATCTTCGTATTATAAAATATGAACACTATTCTAGGAAGTGATTCGAAAACTACTGTATTAAAATGCAAGTTGAAACTCATATACATGCACATAAAAACTCCAAGCCTTTTGCGACATATCACATAATGACCCATGAAACAAAAAAAGGTCTATCAAAAACACAACATTATAAAGAGGATATCAACAGGAATAGATCATTTCGGAACATTTTCGCTGCCCTCTTCGTACTTCTCCCAGTTCGCCAAAATAGAGGCAATGCGAGGCGAGTTGGTGAGCCTGTAGACGTCCTCGAAGTATTCCTTGGTGATCTCGAAGGGACGGGCAGTGACGTTGGGGATGTACTTGCCGATCAACTTGCTGGGGTCGATGGTGGTCTTGTTGATCTTCTTCAGCAAGAAAGAACGGAAGGGCTTCACACCAGAGCGCAAGAAGGTACTGTGGAATGGCACATCGATACCCTTGAGAGGAATGGTGGCGAAACCACGCTCCAGGTTGATGGGACGCGGTTTGGCCTCAGTTTGCTTGACACATTCTTGGATGATGCTGACCAGGTGGTCCTTGACGTCCTCCAAAGACATGCTCTCCATAAGAGCGGGGATGTCGATGTTCTGCGCCTTCAGGAAGTTCAGCAGGTTGGTGAGGCAGTCAAGAGCACGGAGGTCACCAGCCGCGACGTATTGCATGTTGGCAACGTTGTAGTTGACAATCTCGAGCAACCAGCCAGTGGTCTCGGAGATGTTCTCAACAACGTACTGCAGTGCCTGCTCGTTGAAAGTCTTGGAGATACGGCTGGGGTTGACAGCGCACATGGAGTAGTTGGAACGACCCTGTGCATCACGCTCGACCGCGACTTGCATAGTCAGACCGCGGTAGAACACGACAGACACCAAGCTCTCAATGGGCATGACATCAGCCAGGGCGGCCAAAGCCGAGTATTCACCAAGCGAGTGACCAGCGAAGCTGCTGTCGCGTTGCACCAATCCCTTGGTGCGCATGTCCTCGAAGCTGGCCTTCTCCATCAGAGTCAAGGCTGGCTGAGTGAACTGGGTGGCAGAGAGAAGACCGGTGGGAGACCGGTAGGTGTACGAAGCGGTATTCTCATCGACCTCCTTGAAGATCTTCTCGGACTTGATGGATCCGTCTGCGTTCACCGACTCGAAGGTCATGGCCATGTAGTTCTCCCGAATAGCCTTACCCCGTGGGCCACCGAAGTAGACTGTCAGCTCCTTGGGGTTGTTCTTGACGATGTCAATAATGGAAAGACCGTAGTTCTCCATGAAGTGACGATCAGCCCGGTCCCAGACCTCCTGGGCAACTGGGCTAGAGCCATACAGCTCCATACCCATGCCCTGCTCCTGAGAGCCCTGGCCAGTGAAGACGTAGGAAGTGACTGGCTGCTCGACCTCTGCCTCACCCTCCATGACCTTCTCTTCTGTCTCCTTGTTGCTGGCCTCAACCTTGATGATCTTGCGACCAGCAATCATGCCGACATGCTGCAGCTTGACAGTGATGATGTCGTTGGGCAGAACCATGCCGACCAGCGAGACTTGGAAACCACGAACGCGGCCAATGTTGTTCTCAGCGGCCCAGGTCTCGACCAGGCTGCGAACGGCGGCACTGCTGTACATGCCGTGGGTGATGGTTCCAGGCAAGTTGGCATAGCTAGAGAAGACACGCGACACGTGGATGGGGTTGTAGTCACCAGACACGCGGGCATATGTCTCGTTGGAGGCGGGGGCACGCAGTTCTAGAGCGGTCTTGCCACTGAGCGGGATGGGGTTTTCAAAGTAGACTGGCTGTTCAATGGAAGTTCCGTTACGCTGGAGGTAGTCAATCACGGGGTTACCGTGTGAGTCACCTGCCTCGTATTCGACAGACGCAACTTGGATGATCTCCTTGGTGGGAAGCTCGAGAAGAACCTGCCCAACGGTTTGGACGTTGCTGAAGACAGTGGTGTTCTTGAAACGGATCAAGCTCTGCAAGCGGAACGTCAGGGTCTGGCCCAGAAGCTCAACGTCAGAGTCGTCCATGCGGAACCATTCCTTGGAGCGGAGGATGGCGACATCCCGGCTGGTTGCGAGGTGAACCTGAATGGGAACCTCATCCTTGCGCTGGAAGGTGTTCTCATAGTCCACGTAAGAACCCCGGTACAGGAACTGACTGGTGACATGCATAATGGGTTTGTTGTCGCGTCTGATGGTGCCGCAAACCTCGACCATCTTACCAGAATCCTGGTTGATGATGGAGTTAATCTGAGCCGTGGTGTCCAGAACATCACCAACCTTTAGGGGCTGGGCGCCGGGCACCATCTTGAACCCGTTGGACAAGTGAACAAGCTTCAGCAAATCTCCATCAATGGTGCGGGGGAAGATAGGCTTGGTGATTGCCTGCCAGCCTGCCACAATAGCAAAGTCCATAGGGGCAAAGACCTCCTTGCCAGGACGGTCAACGAAAGCCTCACTGGTGTTGCCAACTGCGTGAACAAAGTCGGCAACATCTTGGGCAGTGATGGTTTTCTGGCCACCACTAAAGGTGGCAGTAGTAGGGGTGTCGAAGGGAACGTCCTTGTTGCCGAACCAGATCCGGTAGTAGAACTCCTTGATGCGATCGTTGCGGTCACCCATAACCTCACGAATAGGGGCGTATCCAGTCTCGGGGTGATAAGTGAACAAGAAGTTCAGAGGGACAACGCCATTCTCGGCGGTGCGGCCCTCGATCAGGGTCAGCATGATTTGCCCCTTCTCGTTGATCTTGGCCTCGACCGTCTTGACCAACTTGCCAGACTGGTACGGCTCCCGCACACTAATGACAGTCTTCGCAGGATCATTGGGGTTGGAGATCTCCACATACATGCCTGCCGTGGGAGCGACAATCCGCTTCATGGGGTTAGACTGGAAGCGGTGGCCCTGAACGAAGACATCGGCCAAGAACAAAGCATGTCTCCAAGAGTAGACATTGCCGGCAAGAAGACCGAGCCAGCGGTCCAAGTCTGGCAAGGCTGCAGTGGAAGACAAGCGGAAACTGGTCTTGCTTGGCTCTTCCGAAATAACCAAATCGTCAGACTCCAATTCGGTGGTGTTTGTGAGCTGCCCACCGAAGTACTCAATGACAGGAATCTTGGTGCTGTCGCCGCCGTAGACATCGCGCAAGAGGCCAGCGATGTGGCCCTGGTGAACACCATCAAGGATATCCTTGACGGGCTCATCAATGATGTTGGAGAAGCGAGCAGCCACAGGACCCTGAAGAATACAGGTTCGGCCGACATCTTGGTCGACAACAGCCTCAAGATCCTCACTCTGCCACAGAGAATCCTTCTTGAAGAAGAACTCAAAGTTCTCATCCAGCACGGGGACGAAAGGCACGGGCTTCTGGCCGCGCTTCTGGCAGAGCAGCAGGAAGTGCTGCACATCTTGTGCGTTGATCAGCTGATTGGCAGCTTCGGGATAAGCAGACAAAATATTGTCGACGGTAGGGTAGGGGGTATCAAGATCGGAATAACTTTGAAGCAGCGACGCCTGGCCTTCGGCAGTAGTGAAACGCTCCTCGACACGGCGGATGAAGTCACCCGTCAAGCGCTTGAGCGAGGCATCGATCCATCGCGACTCGTGCTTGATGTACATGAGGTCCACCATGCGGTGAACGACCTCAGCATAAGTCATATCTTCCAGATCCACAGTCTCGCCTGCGGCGTTGCGACCGAACCAGACCTTGTGGAAGTCATCATTCAGCTTCTTGATGATGTAGTTCCGTTGCTTCTTCAGCTCAGGCACACGCTTGGCCTTGTCAAGCTTGAAGATCTTCTGGTCCATCTCCTGCCAGAACAGCACACCGCGAGTGGCCAGCTTGTGGATAGGCTCACCCATTTCAGACAGAACGGTGATCACACCACCTGTTGATTTCTGGTAGGTCTTTTCCCACTCCGCATCGTCCACACCAGGAGCATCAGCAATTGCCTTCTTGGCATTGTGAGAGGTGTGTGCCTCTTTGGCGATCATCATGCGAGATCCGAAGAGACAGCCGTCGAAGGGCATAGGAGGGTAGCCGAACTTGGCGGACCACGTACCGGAGAGGTAAGGATAAGTGTCTTGCGAACCACCGAAGCCACTGCCGGCAACAAGCACAATGTTGTCTTGCTTGCGAATCCGGCTGTACATCTGAAGCATAGGCTGGTGGAAGTCCTCGAAGGAGTGGTGACCACCGCCACGGCCACCAGTCCACTGAAGGATGATGGGGAACTTAGGGTTGGCTTTGGCAACATTGATGACTTGCTGAATCGCATCGACGGAGCCAGGCTTGAAGGCAATGTGCTTGATACCAAGGGTTTCAATATATTCATTGGCAACTTCAATAGATGGCACACCAGCGCCAATGGTCAGACCTTCAATGGGCACGCCCTCCGCGCGCAACCGGCCGATCAACGGAATCTGCCAGGCCATCGCACGCGGGTTGACGTAGATCAAGTTAATAGTGATACCACGTCCAGGGGGGATAGCCTTCTCAATCTTGGTAATGGCCTCCGTCATCGTCTTCGCGTTGTAGTAGCCACCACCAGCCAGCTCGATGTGATAACCGGCGTTCATAGTAGCAGCCACAAAGTCCCAGGCAACGGTGGTGGGTGTCATACCAGCCACCATGACAGGGGGGATTCCCAACAGTCGGCTCATCTTGGTGTCCACGTAGGTTTGACCAGTAGATGTCTTTGTCAAGCGAGGGCCGTGTTCCTTGACCCAGTCCACAGCATACTTGACGGAATGCTCATCACGGTCAAACAGTTCGGGCTTGTAGCCGACTTCCGCATTGGTTCCGTCCATTTCACCGGCGAGGATGACCCGAACACCGGTACCGTCCTTGTTTCTGTTGGTCAAAACGCCCAGACCAGAGATGCCACCGGGGCCGAAATCAAGGATGTGGGTTGCATGGGG